GCAATATGATGGATGAGTCTGGGTTTGGCAGTTGCCAGTAGAGTGGTACTGCATTGTGCCAAAGTTTGGTGGAGGGGGGGATTATGGTGTGTGGTTGTTTTTCAGAAGCTTGGCCCCCTAGTTRCAGTGAAAGGAACWCTGAATACTTCAGCATACCAAGACATTTTGGACAATTCCATGCTCCCAACTTTGTAGGAACAGTTTGGAGCTGGTCCCTTCCTCTTCCACCATGATGTGCACCAGTGCACAAAACAAGGTCCTTAAAGACATGTGTGGATGAACCTGTCTGGCCTGCACAGAGTCCTGATAGAACACCTTTGGGATGAATTAGAGCAGAGACTGAGAGCCAGGCCTTCTTGTCCTTCTCATATGTGACCTCACAAATGCACTTGTGGAAGAATGGTCAAAAATCCCCATGAACACACTCCAAAACCTTGTGGACAGCCTTCCCAGGAGAGTTGAAGCTGTTCTTGCTGCAAAAGGGTGGACCAACATCAATATTAAACCCTATGGATTAGMAAAGGTATGTTACTTAAACTRGTGAATCAAGGCAGAGAAGTGAATACTTTGGGCAATATAGTGTAGGTGAATTTTTACTGCAGTATTACTTAGTGTTAAGATCAAGTGACCAGCAAYAAGTAAGCCCACTTTTTAGCAGTAAATCTTTGAAAAGCACTGCCTTTGTTTACACAACTTGCAGTGTTGTATTCTAGGCTATTCACTATATTTCATTTCCTTAGTTGTATCTGCCTCGGGCCTACTGGAGTATTATTTAGAAATGAAGCTGGGCAGATCTGTACCAGTTTTTTAGACCTGGACAAAAAGGACTTTGTCCTCAGATGTTTCCGGTCATAAGAAGTGCTCTCATGCAGGTATCTAAATACAACTTGTATAGAATTATAGGAAATAAAAAATGAATCCAGGTTTGTGGCTCAATTTTGAGAAACATTTGTCACACAATATTTTCAGAACATTTGATAAATTTTGGTTGCTAGCCTCCGCAATTCCTGGGGGGAAAAAAAAGCAAACATTTGGAAGACTTTGAAGACTCTTGCAAATAGACTACTGCTCAGAAACTAGTCTCCACAGTCGCAGCCTGGTGAGATACTGGCTYAGGGTAGATGGCACGATGTTTCGGCACAAAGAAGTTCACGTGATGACGTATTTTTGTGTGGAACACTATCKGGTGTGCATGTGAGCCCAATGGTAGAAGGCAGCGCAGAGCAACTCATGCTAGCTAACCTARGAYCWTGTTGAATCACCTGAAACACAGACATAATCTGGAGTACGAGGAAAGACAGAAAATGCGGACCAAGGTCACATCATCTGCTACATGCAAATGCAGTTTTCATCATATTATTGGCTAATTGTCACAAATCATAATTTAATTTTTGCCCATATRYCCCAACCCTATTCTGATGRATAGAGCATGCTGAGAGTGCAAGATAATGACTAAGGAAGACAGAAGCGTATTTGGTGATTGCTAAAAGTGTAACAGCGTAGAGATTATGTCACACTTAATAATAATAATGATACATTTTATTTGGTGGCACCTTTCTGACACTCAAGGATGTAGGGGTCACCTCGAGTGAAGAAACAAGATTTACTGCCTCGAAGCAGGCCTCGCACAGGCCTGACGAGAAGGCAGGAACTCTGTCACAAACTGAACTCTATTTAGGCCATGACAGGTCATTCCAACTGTGGAAGAGAACCCCTCAGTTCTCTTAATCAGATAATGGACAGAACAATCTCTTCTGTTCATGAAACATTCTTAGTTAAACAACAAATGAATCACGAACAGAAGAGATTGTTCTGTCCATTATCTGATTAAGAGAACTGAGGGGTTCTCTTCCARGGTTGGAATGACCTGTCATGGCCTAAATAGAGTTCAGTTTGTGACAGAGTTCCTGTCCTCTCGTCAGGCCTGTCCGAGGCAGTAAATCTTGTTTCTTCACTCGAGGTGACCCCTACAAGGACACAAAACAAGCAGCAAAAGCACTTAAGGAGGTATTTTATATATGTTTTCATGATCCAGAAACATTCTGATAAATTCTGTAGGTCATGGGTCATGTAGGTTATCATCCAGAGTGAAAAGGGTTTAACCAGATCACCAGTGTTTTCAGTGACTGTTTAATCATACATTACAGTATTTTTTTTTCCTTTTTAAAGAATAAAAGACACTGAGCACACAGATGACCTGATTATCACCATAATGACAAGTTTCCAAGTGTTTCATATTAAGGCTTCTGTTCTGGCTCTTCAAGAGATTCTCTAGACTGAGTTTAAGCACTTATTTCTAAAACAATTCATTAGTTCTGTTCTTCAAACAAATCTAACAATAAATGAAGTTTTAGTTTTAGGACACAACCTGCCTGGTGGCAAACAATAACATCATTTAACCCAGAGTTAAGTCAATTTGTCACTGATACCAGAGTCTAAACATACGTTTTCTACAAATTTTATTTTTAAGAACAAACAAATCGAGAATATCTGGAGGTCTAATGATGCTGTTGTTGATCAACCAGGCCTTGTTTACATGTGGTGTGTTTAAGAGTCTGTGTGTGATTCATAGGAACTTATTTTTGACTATTTGTACATTTTTTTAAACTTCTTAAGTTTTGCATCTTAGGGCATTAAATGTAATTTGGTTTTCACATGAAATTTAAAATACAGAGTTTATATCAAAGCACTTCAGGGTCTTCACCCTCATGATTCTGTTGTACTTTTTACCTGGATCTGTTGTTACGGGAACAGATGTTGTTGTGGAGCAGAGATGAACACATGCAAATAATCTGCCTTTTAACCCATCAGTGCGTTTCAGACCATGTTGCTTGGATAATAATGGAGTCACTTCCAAAAGTAGTTTTTTGTGTAATTCTGTTCAGTCACAGGAGTTTTAAACCCTACAGAGGTTTGTTGCTGACATTTCCAACGCGTCTCAAACACATCTTAAATTATTCATGGGCGTCAAACCATTCTGATTGCAGAAATCTCCAACCCATTTTAAACCCTTCTCAATTTTGTTGCAGGCATCACCACCCTGTCTCAAACACATRTTCATTTAATCTGGAGTAGAAAACCAGCATAAAACAATGGCATTTTAACAAAACTTAACAAGTGTTGCTTTTAGTCTGAGCTGTGCTGGCAGGCCCTATCACGTGACCTAGGATCAAACCAAAGAGACATAACCTACATGATGACTCTAATTATGAAGACATGTTAGGAGACTCATCAGTAAGTCTTTTTATAAGAGCAGAACTGATGCTGATATAGCCTCAAACACAAACAAATCACTTTAAAGTTTGTTTTTTCCTGTATAAATCCGTAAACAGAGTTTATAAAAAGCCAGTAAGACTTTGTGTGAAGCGGTGAGGATAAGACTGACATGACGCTGTCCTGAACATGAAGGAGGCCTCATGAATGTTTGACTGTAGTGACATTATGTAAACTATGACAGGTTTAATACAAAGTTGACATAGTTTAAAATGTCTTGGTTATGACAACTTGACATAGTCAAGAAATCATATAGTATGATGCAATCACCTGACACTGTAAATACAATAAAAGAGTATCTCTTGACATTTTCTCTATCAGTATATATGTGACCCATCACATCGAAACGAGGATTAAGTCCAAACGTGGTGTATGGAGAAAAAGGCAAATATAGTGTTTTGACTAAAATATTAATAAAAATAGCATTTTGTCAAAATATAATGAATTAATATCAATGTATCATTTGAATGAACTGCCTGAAATATAATCCTAAAACAAAAATTTGAAGCACTTTTTTGAGCAGTAGCAACAAAAAAACTGATTTTGTGGAAAAACGCCTTAAAATTTTGAGATTTTTCCTGAGTTAGCAAAGTTTTGTTTCTTTTTAGCTGGGAAATCTCAA